TCTTGTTGATCAGTTTTTCCTCATTGTTAGTGGGTGGTAGAGTTTTGTAAAATGTTTTTTTTCCGCGTTTTCTGAGATGATCGTGTTCGTTTGTTGCTTTTTAAGAAATGTCTCTTAATGTAGGTTTTGAATATGTTGAATGTAGAATATTGAAACAACTAATCATAAATTTCTGAGATAATCCCTACTTGTTTGTCATTGTATATTGCTGGATTCATTTGCTAAAATTTGGTTAACACTCCCCCCCTTTTTTGTTTATAGAACACCTGGGTTTGTAGGGATTTTTTTTTTGTAATGTTCTTTTTTCAGATTTATTATTTATTTATTTGTGTGTATGTGTGTGTGTTCGGTGTATATGCATGTGTGTGCTGGTGTTACATACCCGTATGTGTATGCAGAGGCCAGAAGATAGCATCAGATGTCCTTCTTCATCAGTTTCCACCCATTCCTTTGAAGCAGGGTCTCATCCCTGAACCCTTGCCTGGCTTGAGAAGCCCAAAAGTCTCAGTGCTGGGGTTACAGGTGTTTAGGTGGATGTGGAGCTTATTACATGGGTACTGGGATCCAAACTCAGTCTTCATCATTATAGAGCCAAGTGTTCCTAACTGCTGAACCATCTCTCCATCCTCTGTTCTGTGTTTTTTGTATCAGGGTAAGGCATGTCTTATTCTCTTTCTGGAAATGTTTATGAAGAATGTGAATTTTTTAAAAAATGAAAGTTGTGGGACTGGTGAGATGGCTTAGCGGTTCAGAGTACTGACTGCTCTTACAGAGGACTCAGATTCAATTCCCAGCACCCACATGGTGACTAACAACTGTCTGTAACTACACTTAGGCTTCTTCTGACCTGCACAGATATTGCACGACACTGGTACACTCTACACATGCAGGCAATACACTCATACACATAAAATAAAAATAATAAATAAAATGTTTTAAAAATGGAAGTTGGAATTTATTAAGAAAAGGTTATTTCTCATGCTGGAGATTGAACCTATCACCTTACTTGTGTTAGGCAACTGCTCTACCTGCAAACTGCCTCCCCAGCCCATGAAAAGACTTTAATACAGATTTAAGCATAGGCATTAGGAAAGACAGGTACGTATTAGGAAAATACATACTTGTGTATGAGCACGCATTTAATCTTGACTTTCCCTTTGTTTGCATTCTCTTCTTGTGTTACATGGTTATTTATGTGGAATTAGACTTAAAATTACCAATGTTAGATTTTTTTTAAAAATATGCTTAATTTCCAAATATTTACTTAATTTTCCAGATATATTTTTTACAGGGCTCTGATTTAATTCTCTTTGTGTTCCAAGGGCATGCATTACATGACAGAATTTGTTTGAACTTACTGAGATTTGTGAGAAGGCATAGAACATGGTATGTTGGTGAATGTATTAATGTGTTTGAGTGGAAATTTATTTTTTAAAAATATTTTTTTTTTTTATGTGTGTGAGTGTATTGCCTCTAGTGTGTGAGTGCACCCGTGTCGTGCAATGCCTGCTGGGGTCAGAAGGCATTTGGTCCCTTGGAACTGGAGTTATAGATGGTTTTCAGCCGCTATGTGGGTGCTGGGAAACAAACCCTGGTCCTCTGCAAGAGCAGTCAATTCTCTTAACAGCTGATTCATCTCTCCAGGCCCTTGAGTGGAAATTTCTAAAAATGGTAATTCAGATTATTTGAGTCTTCCTTAAGACTTGTACATATATTTTGATTGTTGAAATCTTCAGCATTAATTATGAATATATTTCTCTTTTGCTTCTTGGTTTATGTATTTTGAAGCTCTACTATTGGTGCATTTACCTATTTATTGCTTTTATGTCTTCTTGAGGAATTGGGTCCTTTGTCATAAATTTCTCATCTTTAGTTCTGTAATATGTTGTAAGATAACTATAGAAATAATTTGTGTAGTTCCTGACAGAAAGTATTTTCTCATTTTTATATGTAAGTTTTCTATTTTCTTTGGCTATTTTTAAAATTTTCTTAAAAGCCAGATGTGGTGATACATACCTGTAATTCCAGAACCCAGGAGGCTGAGACAGAAGGTTGTTGAGTTTGAGGCCAGTTTGGGCTATATAGTGGGTTCCAGGCCTGCCTGGGCTACACAGTATGACCCTATAGCACCAGCTGGCCTGGAACTCCCTAGGTAGACCAGGCTGAGCTCTTTCTCATAGAGATATGAAATATGCCTGCCTCTGCCTCCCAAGTGCTGCAACTAAAGATATGTGCCACCACGCCCAGCTCAAGATGATTTTTAAAAAATTATTGTAATTATTTTTCATCTTTGAAAGTCTTCTTCCATTTCTCCTGTTTCTTATTTTTCTTTCCTGTTTCTTCTTTGTGTGTGCAATTGCATACATGTGTACATGTGTGTACAGCCCTTGTGGATGTCATTTTCTAAGAGCCATCCATTTACTCTGTTTCTTTAGGCAGGATTTCTCACTGGGACCTGGGGCTTACTGATTATTTTATGTGTGAGTGCTTTGCCTGCTTGTATGTAAGTACACCACATAAATTCAGTGCCCACAGAGGCCAGAAGAGGGCCTCAGATCACCTGGATCTGAAGTTCTGGATGGTTGTTAGCCACCAGTTATGTGGGTGCTGGGAACAGAACCTAGGTCCTCTGCAAGAGGACCACTGAACCATATCTCTAGTCCCTATAATCTTTA